GTAGATTCTGCGCGCAGCCGCCATAACAATCACAGTACATACTACTAGAAGAGTATCACAGTAGTAGTAGTAGTAGAGTTGCGACTGTGTCGTTTCCTTTGCAACATATAAGAGCCACCTTCTAAGCTCTACTTCACGGCAAAATGGTTTCACACGGTACGCCGCGTAATGTTTCCGGTGTACATCGCAAGTCCGAAACTCTTGCATATCGAGATTGATTGTATGTATACTTCACGTTGCGCCGAAGTGTAGTTCCGGTCAAATCTATCTTCAGTTTGTGGTGTTTTTTCTTTCGTGTTCCACGAGCTGCCTTCACAGCTCCACTTCTTTCTTCGTTCGGGAAAATAGTTAAATCATATTCTGACCACATCAAGCACGTCCCACTTGGTATGTGTTTCAACGCCCCGACGTTTCCCTCTCCGCATAGAGCACCAGCCAAAACGAAGGACGGGGGGGGCGGCGGTAGCCCCCGGAGCCCTTGTACAAATTAAATATAATCATGTCCTGACAATTGTACCGTTCCCTTGGAGTCCGAAGCATGGTGGACGAGCGGGCAGATTCATGCAGGTTCATCACTCAGCAGTTAGTTGTCCACGCCCTTGGCCCGTTTTCACATACCATATGCTGCCTGTTGCTGTGTGCGGAGAATGAGGGTGCACGTATCCTCTCGCTCCATGATCGATGATACCGTGTGCAGCAGCAAGCAACAGCAGCAGTGTTTGATACTGTATTCTGTTTACTAAAGTATTCCGTTCTCGCTCTCCAATGCAAGGTGCATGGATGTATACCCACCCCCCCAAAGAATCCACCCAGTGTTGTTCCACGTTCCACGTTCCACGGCCTCAGGGACGTTGTGAATGATCGGTTGTTAATAACCAGATGTGGTCGTTGTCAACATACAGGAGGTGGTCTTCATCATCACACATGACCTCTGACCTGGTCCGTCGGAGATGCATCCACCAGCCTGATGATGATGGGAGTCTGGGATCTCAGCGAGAATCTGATTCTTCTGGGAATCTCGGAATATATATGGCTGTGAAAAAGTATAAAATGTACAACACCTACGTGCGCACGCCGCAACCCACAAACGCGCACCGCCTGCAGCGTTTGCATAGATAGGTCTCACCAACGAGCGCGTGTTCTCTCCTTCCACGATCTCACAAAGCCACTCGAGAAAAGGTAGGTGAGTGCGTACATGCGTGCTGTATCATCGTAGCAGGTATTGTTGTTGTTGTTGTTGTTGTCTTCAACCGTTCCGATCTCTCTCTACCCAGTGTACCTTCATATGTCCGTACTGATCCAACACTTGACGCGGCGATTCTCATGGTCACCGGCTAACTTACCCTAAAAAGGTACGCTGAAACAAACTGGCCCCGAGGGGTCCGCAAGTCAATAGAAAGAAATCAACGACAGATATTCTGGAGTCCTCCGCTCCCTCTGCGCGCTATGCGAGGTAACAACTGACATTTTTTAGGAGTAAGCATCACGGGCCAGAGAGAAAGAGGTACACCCCCTTGGTTCAATCTTGGTGCTTCACACGCAAGCAGAGACAAGGTCATCTGACACAGAAAAGGACAGGTATGGATTCAAGCGAACCCCGGGATGATGGTGGTCGTTGCGTCCCCGTCTTCTCCCTTTCTCGCTCTCTCTCTCTCATACACACATCATGTCCTGCGGAAGCAGGATATTTTAGCTGGAGTTGGATGCTCGCGCCGTCAGGCGGCGGTCGAGATAGCTCGTGATTATGTTGGTTCCGGCCACTGCATGCAGCAGCGTTGGTTGCTATTATTGTCCTAGCGGGTACTTATGTAGAACCCACGCGCTTCGGTCCTATTTCGGCGTTGTTGTTGTGGGCGTGTATCGTTTTCCGGCCAACAGCAGCTCTCTCCTTCACACCGACGGTGCGGCTGCTGCTCGTTTGTTGTTGTTGGGTGTTGCTGTCTCCAATTTACTGCTGTTCGTAGGTCTCATCCCGACAACAGAGCTCCCGCTAAACTGCTGCTGCTGTGCCTCCTCTTTCGTGATCTTCAAGGTAAACACGAACAAGAAACGTGCACAGCAGTGCACAAGAACAACAGCAGTCTTTTGCAGCAAGAAATATTTTGAAAAGGTCATATTAGGAAAAAAAAAAAAAAGGCAAACCTGTTATTCCTACATTGTAGGTTGTTTCGGCACAGAGAAAGTTCATGGGCGACTCGTTGGAAGCCCTATATCCAAACCTCCCGCCGACCGCAGGACTTCCGGAGTTGACAGCAGTATCATCAGAACAACAGCTTACAGCAGTATGCATACGACGCGTAGAGAGGAAAGACGTGTATTAAGGAATAATAAATACGCACACAGAAAGACTACCCATCCGAGATATACCCACAGTCGAACGTATGCCGTAATCAAGTAATCAACGATCCTTTCGAAAATGCACCAGATTTTTAACGAAGACTTCCCTTTCGAGATACAGCAGCACCAGCACCAGCACCAGCAGTACATGCAGTACATGTACTCTGCTGTATTTACGTACCAGGTATGTATTTACATGTGCATATTTCAGCAGACCCCGTTGGAGGGATGTGTGACGGTGATGGGTGAGGTCTCAGGACAACTGTGGAACCTGGGCTTGGGGTTGTTCGAGTCTGTGTTGAGCCTCCCTGTGTGCACTTGGAAGACCAGAGTCTGTGTTGAGCCTCCCTGTGCACTTGAAGATCAGACATAATAATCGAGCCAGGACAGAAATCATTCCCATCTATGTACGATATTGGGGGGTAACATTAACAGAAAAACCAATGTTCAGCTGCGTCGATGACAAAAGGGCCCGGGAGAAACGATCTCCATCACGTCGTGTGCCAAAAAAAAAACTGCTTTTCGACCTCTTGTGCTACATGTACTGTATCTATACGGTTGGGGGGCTAGTCTACTGCCGTAGATCCACATGTGTTTTTTTTCTTTGCCTGACAACAATGCTGACAAAGGTATTACATGCCTGCAGAGTAGGCACAACAACAGAGTAGTGCCTCCGTTTTTGTAGCTCGGGGGGGCAACATTCTGCCGTAGGTTGTATGTGTGGCTTGGAGTGTGCACCAGGATCGACCTCTCCTGAAAGAAGAAAAGGCGGCACAGCAGTATGCATACGACATTGAAACAGGACGAACGATGTATGCATACGGCGGGTTGAAGAAGAGTACATACGTAGAGTTACCGGGGGGGGGGCAGCGCGGCCCGTTGGCTCTGATCTGAGGCAACGCATAGATCTCCGGCAGGTCATGTATGTATGCAGATGTAGGCCATGTGTATAGTGGTGGTGGCGTTGACGTTCAACTTGCAATCATCAACCCCTTGAAGGCTACAAGTACTGCAGAAACACGAAGAAGGCACCCACCCGATGACTGGAAGAGGGAACACTTATATCGTAAGGTTCGGGGTGCGAGGATGTACAGCGGCAGCTTCTCCTTCGGGGATACTCTTTTGAGTTGTGTTCCGTCACGCCATGTAGTGCATGTTTCATGATGGAAATAGTGAACACGCTCGTTTGAGGAAAAGTAAGTATAGAAATAGTGCATATTTTATGATGACTTAGCTTCGGATTGAAGCAGTACGCTCAAGAGAAAGTTCGCGCTAGGGCGATGTTCTTGTCCGATACACGCTACAATGTAGACTTTTTGTTGTTGTCTTTCCAGACATTTAAATCCCAAGGACCCATTGCTCCGTTAACGCCCCACTCATTAACTCAGGCCTGCGTAGACTGAGGGCTGCTTGATGACCACCATGGAGCAATGGCAACAGGAGCACTTGGGCACAATGGCGGGCGCGTGGGTCCTGGACCTCTCTAGGTGACAACGCACGCACGTGTAGATCACCCGATCCCTGCACCCCCACGCGTACTGTAAGGCCATCGCGTCAAACGCTACGTGATTTTGCTGTGTACATTATCGGTACAGCAGGAGGGACTGGGAGAGGTTGTTCTTCGTGTGTTTGGAGCGTGAAAGAAATTAGGTTCGCACCTAGGTAAACATGTAGTACGCCTACAAAGGAGGAAGTGATGCTGAAGAACTCTTGTCAACCCTAAATAGATGGAGAGCCATTGCGCAGCAGAGCTTTTTCTTTTTGTGAGATCCCTGGTCAGAGTTCGTCAGCCTTGAGCGGCGAGGGCGTATATGTAGAACGGGGACGAGCCAAAAATTGTTCCTGGAAACGCTCACCAACAAACGTGTGCACCAGCAACAACAGTAGCTGGGATGCTGTGTGGCTTGATGCGGTGGTTGGTTGTACGTGTGTTTGATGAGGTTCATGTGTACACACGGCAGCAGTAGGATTACGTGTAGTACAAGCATCGTTGTCTGCATACGGCAGTATCCTACCCTCCTGTGCTGCTTGCTTAGCCGTGGAACCCTTTGAGAAGCCGTGGAACCCGTTGTAAGCTACATGTAGGTCACAGCAGTCTGTTGTCACTCACACCACACGCGTACAGAAGTTCGCTTGGTCCACCACACGTGCCGGGAGGGGGTAGAGCCACGTGTGGTTTGCTTGGGGTTGACCACACGCGTGGTTTGCGTGGTTTACCCGTGGTCGTAAATATGTTTACTTATGTGAATGCCACAGATAGAGTCAGTGTAGGATGGACGCTGAACCTTGCTTCAACGCAAGGTTGCTCCCCACCTGACACTCAACACAACTATCCGTACTCGTCAGCCTCTCCACCAGGTTGAACCGGTGTGTATCCACACCACACATCCCAAAGGGAACTTGCTCACACGCGAACCTGGAGACAACCGTCTCATAACCCGAAGGTAGATCTCCGACAGGTCATTTGACGTCACAATCTACGACAGTCTGAGGTGGCATTCACACTTATTTTTAATAATATCAACAAACAGTAACAACAACAACAACAACAACAACAATAACTAGTTGCCAGGTATCGACCGCAAGGATTCTTGACAAACGTTCTCGCCTTCGGCCATCATCTCACAAAGCCTTTTCGTCGTGTGAAGCGCAGGTCGGACACCATGCAACGCTACCTCGAGGTCAGCGGGATGCCGGCTACGCACGCCTACACACACGTGAGAGAGAAACAGGAGGAGGAGGAGAAGGAGGACTAAGGCGGCAGGCACCAGATTTCCTCCTTGCTTGACTTAAATCCTATATCAATTCAATTCACAACACGAGCCACGTGTTGTTTTTTTTTGTTGGCGTGAAATTAGGAGACCGATGCACTTCTTCTTGAAGGCCTCGTACTGCTGTACGCTGAGAATAAGCACGTAGGAACCCATATGGCATTTTTTTGTCTTTCGGATGCAGTGGAAGGCCAATATATTATTTACTGATACTGCTGTCTGCTGGTTTTTTATCTCATAATCACACCCGACGTAAAACCATGATTGCCGACAACTCAATCCCTGTTCACCTGGTCGTGGAGAGTGCCGAAGAGAGAAAGCGACTACAGCAGTAGACTGGACACAGCTGTCACCGTACCCCCGATATCGGGAAACCGTGGATAATGTCTTCATCTGTGTGGGATACGGGTTCGGGAAGCGCAAAGGGGAACGCATGAGAGAACACATAAAATAGTTTCGACAAAAGATACCTAGAAAACAGCGACAGCAACAATCATCATAGAAATTCCAAAGAAAACATTCTGTGCTGCTCTGGGAGCGATGCAAATTCCAAAGAAACCTTTCACCGCTGCCGTCTGTGCAAAGATTGTATGTATTTTTCCCAAACACGTTTGGCATGGTACAAAAAATAGAAGCTAACACTGTACAGCGCAACCCCTCGTCACCCGAGAACGAACACGTGCAATCTCTTGGTTTTGAATGGAACACACACACACACGCCAAAAAAGAAATTCAAGACTCACCTGTGCACAAACCTAATGAAACATCGTCGTCAGGTATTGGCGGAGAGGAAGCACGGTGGCGCCCTGAACCTGATACACCTGGATGAGACCACCCTCACTATCCACAAGCGGACCTACCGCAACAACTACACCGAGACGTGCGTGTGTAGTGTTCAGACGGTGTCGACGGCGATGAGTCTTACTGTGTGCCTTCGAGAGTATGCTGCGCACAACGCGTTTTTGTTTTTCTGTCTGTGTGGTCGGTATTGTTGTAGCGGCGGGTGTTTGATGTGTCTCTGGCTGTGGAACAAGTCCCTTTGATTTTATCCTCCGACAACGGATGATGGCAACACGCCGACAGCTGGTTGCTTGCTGCGCGTTCAGCGTGCGGCATGATCATCTCGCGCGGTTTCGGCCAGCTAGGTGCTTTCGATCTCAAGACACATGCGCGCAAAACCAAAACCGCTCCCTTTCCACTCTGCGTCCAGCCCCTCCCGGTTTGTCTTGCGTGAAGTAGGCAGCGTTGTCATATCCGTACATTTTGCGCGACACCCAGTACATAGTGCTACTTCCGCGAATGAACTCTGGTGGCGATTACGATGTTCATGATGACGAGGGCCCGCGGTGACGGCTCAGCCGTGCAGGGACAGGCTCAAACGACACATCCCATTTATCCCTTCTCCCAAATCCATTCGTTATTCGTGTGTTCATGTGCATAACAGGTTTGTGCTCGGCGAGGAAAAGGTGACCAGCGTCACACCCAACAGAGTGTCCATCTCCACGACTGTTTCCAACCTCGGGTCTAGCTCGAGGGGATACGTCTGCCTGATCCGGAATACGAGCACGCCCGAACGCCAACACAACACCGAGGTCCTGGAGCGGCGCTACGTTGCGAACGGGGGTCTGTGCCACATTCAGGTAGGTTGTGGGCGAGAAAAAGTGCATGCTTTTTTTCCACCTGGCTGGCCCTTGATTCACAGGGCTCCTTGTTTCGGACCGTTGTGGGTGGTCATCTACCCCTAACGCTATGACCCTCTTCCCGTGCTTGTCCCAAACAAAGTCAGTCCTACAATATAATCGAGGCTAGACTGCTTCATTGGGGATGGCAACCTATCCCTAACGCTACAACGCTCTTCCCGTGCTTGTCCCAAACAACTTCAATCCTACAATACATTAGAGGTTTAGATTGCTTCGTTGGGGATGGAAGGCTACCCCTAACGCTATGAGTCTCGCTTGTCCTAAATAATCGCAATCCTACAATCCAAAAGAGGCTTAGACTGCTTCGTTGGGGATGGCAGCCTATCCCTAACGCTCCGACCCTCTCCCCGTGCTTGTCCCAAACAATCTCAACCCTACAATTCAATCGAGGCTAGACCGCTTCGTTGTGGATGGCAGCCTACCCCTAACGCTGTGAGTCTTCCTTGACCCAAACAACCGCAATACTACAATACAATAGAGGCTTAGACTACTTCGTTGGGGGTGGCAAGCTTACCCTAACGCTATGACTTTTGCTTGTCCCAAACAACTTGAATCCTACAACAACCCAATAGGAGATCAAGGCCCGATGCCTCACCACGGGGGAAGAGTGCGGGATCGTCCGGACCTGGAGGCGCGTGATGATGACCCACGAGCATCGGGCCACTCTCGGGCTGCTCCTGGTTGGGGGCGGAGTCGCCGACCAGGAAGAAGAGAAGCAGCAGCAGCTTTAGAATTGCTTGCAGCCGGAGCCTCCATGCGTCGACGTGGCCAGCCCCGACCACAGCGTGTTGTACGCGGACGGGGTGGTGGAAGAACTCTCTGCGGGGCCCGGCTTGTCCTTTACCTATGCCGGCAGGAGGAGGAGGAGGTGAAGGAGGAGGAGGAGGTCATTTTGCGAAATGTGTGAAAGGCATTGAGTCGTGATCGTGTCAGGACAGGAGGCGGGTTATAACACACCACACCGGGGCACAGACGACAAGAACAAGGAGTTCGCTTGGGGCTGGAACGGCCGCTGACACGAGAGGCGGCGGCATCAGCGATACGCAAAGCGAAAGTAACAACACACCAATTTTCAGGAAGGTCATGGCCGAAAAACGACTGAATAGGAAATAGTCTGTACCCCGTTGTATGGACTATTGACTAGAAATATAATATAGACGTAGGGTTAATCATGAACACGTTGTACATACACACCGTTTGCTGGACACGGTAGTGGTGATGATGTGGGGTTTTGGTTGGCGGTTGAACCCACCGAACGGATGACGAGCGTTTTTAGACCGTGTGTGCTTTTGATGGGGACATTTTTTTTTTTTTTCTTGAGCTGTGTGTTGGGGGTGTTTTCCTCTCAAGATGAAGATGAAAGGGTCACGTGATGTCGTAGTATGTGTGGTGACGTGGATGGTGACTGATAGACGACATGCGTGATACCGCCAAAAGTAAAATAGAAGTATTTTTGTATTTAGGTCGCGGTGTTCCCCTCCGCAGGCCACATGAAGGCCAGGTCGTCGATGACGCTCGACTAATGTTTGTGTCGTACATTGCTACTACTACAAGTAGTTTGCGGACTATTCCTCAAATATTTCGCATTGTGAGCGTAGCCTTTCTTCGCGAATTGCGTGTCGATGTATAATCTATAGTCTATATGGTGAGCACCTGAATCAATTGCCTCGGGACCGTAGCTGGGTTGTGGGTTGGCCCCGCCAACACAGTCCCCGGCTTGGATGGCGTTTTTTAAGGACGAGATGGGGAGGGGGGTGGTATCACAAGCAACAACTTGTGTTGATCAGGTTAGCAGCAGGGAAGGGCGTGGACTTGATGTTACTCCACGGAGTAACAACGCAGGTGCTGCGAACATTGAGTTGGTGCCATGCACCCTAGACTATTGATGCATATGCGGGCGTAAGACTAGACTACTACACCGTTTTACCCTTCCGTGCGAAAAAAGAAGAGTAGATTCCTCGCCGTGAACCCTTTCACTTATTTTTTAGATTGCCGCCCACGGCTGCTCCCTCAATTGATTATTCTTTACATGTTTGGTTTGCCGTTCGGTCTGTTGATTTTTTAGTGTCTCGGTACTACTACTGTGCACGGTGATGGCGTACACCAGCTGTAGTAGTAAAACGGATAGATCGAAGAGTTGATTTCGATTACGCAAATCACTTGATCTAAGAGTTGAATATCGGACAAGATTTCTTCATTGCTGTTTTCGGGGATAGCGCTGACTGAAACCCGAATTTGCAATTGGAGAACCCTGGACATGCACCCGATGGGCAAAATAAAAAGGTTTCGTGTGAAAATATTTTTCGGTGAAGAGGGTGGCGGGGGAATTAACTAGCCTCCTTGAGAAAGTTTTCAACGTATGGAAGCGTGCGTCGACGAGATAAGCGCGCGCCAAAATCAAAGACTTATCAGCTCCCATTCCAACACGAGGGCAGGGGAAAAGAGGTGCCGACATGTGTAGAGGGTGATTCAATCGCAAGGTCAACACAGATGCTGTGTTAGATCGCCAGAAGACGCATATATATCTGTAATGTATGTGCTACGCCAGCGAAGAATAAGCACGAGTGTAATCCAAATCGCTTGGCTTCGCAGAGGACTCCAACAGCAAACCATATATATATATATATATATATACCTGACGGACAAGGGTTGGGGGAGCGGGGTGTTATCTTCCATCACACCAATCGAAACCAAGCAAGCTCCGCCCAAAGCTCAGCGCGTTTCGATCTTCTTTCCCTTGCAAGCGATCTGGCGCGACTGGTCTAATGTCTCAAGCCAAGACCGACAGGCTGAGGTTTCACCGCACTTGTTCGGTCGACCGCTACATGAAGCGTGGCCCGTCGAAAGCTGGACGCCTCGACAGGGTGTGTGTGTCGTCGGTAGCAAGCAGCCGTAAGAGCGCTGCTGCGCAAGGGAAAGGAAGGAAGCAGCCCGTGTAGTGTTCCGCTTCCAAGGCTAACACACCAGCCTACGAAAGAGACGTCGAGAGCTGTCGCCTGGCGTCGCATGGAGCGTGCAAAGCTTACATGGAAGGCGAATAATTCTCAGGGCCAAGCGGCAGCAAAAAAAAAACGCGCCGCGTGCCGCCGTGCGAGAAACAGAACAATATCTACCACCATCACGATGGCACGAACAAGAATAAGTGCACCAAGCATACGCAACTCACCACCACACAGCTCGGACTAGCCTGCAACTGAAGGCACGCATGCACACGCTAGAGCCCACGCCCCCCACCGCCGGAAAACCGTAACCTTCGAAGACAAGCTACAATACCCAGCACCCCCCGTACCCGCTCGCTCTCCACAAAACAGAAAAAAGACAGAGTGCACCAGCAGGGTACAGACTTTTTGCTGCCGGTGCTCTCTCCCTTGGTGAGCGAAGAGAACCTTCGAAAGTTAAGGTTATAGCAAGCCCACGGCAAGCCCTAAACAGGCTCAGCACTGCTGTTGTTCGGCTCGCACAACCAGCAGCAGCAGCAGCAGCAGGAGGAAGACCACACGACCAGCGTGAGCTCGTTCCCCCAAGACGAGACTATGTACTCATAGCCGTGCATGCCGTAGTCGTTAGAGCATTGACCTCGCAAAACCGGGAACGAGAACGTCGGGGGTTCACCGAACCAGGCTTACCACAATCTTTGGGGGGGGGTTGCAACTACATACTGCTTTGTTGTTTCTAGGGCTGCTATTTTTTTTTTGTCATCATCATCGGGGTGGTCGCGATCGGCTCGAGGACGACGACGACGAGGCCTTGGCCCTTTTGGCTCTTGGCGGGTGCGGCGAACCTCCTCCGCCATCGGCAGCCGAGGCACGCACAGCTCTGTTGATCATTTGGAGGTCCTGACAACGGAAGGGCCAATCACGTCATCGTTCGAGGTGAACAAGACGTGGTACAGGGACATGCATGTATGCGAAGGGGAGAGCCAAGTGAGGGAGAACGGCGGCGGTACGTGACGTGGTGGTCCAAGCTATAGAGTGGCACGCGGGTCCTGGCAACGTTGTCGGTCCGGCGAGGGGGGGCTGGTTGTATATACAACAGCCTTACCACAAAATGCTTACACCAAAATGGAACGACATCGTGTCGACAAGTGGGCCGACCGTGCCAACGACGTCTTCAATTCACACCCTGCTGTACCTTCGCCGACCAGCGGCACGTAGCGCGACGTCTATTCAGCCATGCTATGGAACATACCACCATCGGCTGGCAAAAAACCTTCAAGACATGGTGTGCATGTACCCTTTGGATAGTTGGCCCGTGACCACGGAAGGCGCCCGAGTGTGTTGGACCGGTACGGAGATTTGATGGTGTCCCGAGCAGAGACCGGAACGATTTATCATCTCAAGACAACAACGACAACGACAACGATCCCGACACCAACAATGACGTACCTTGGATGCGCTTTCGCCGAAGGCATACACGCCTACTCCCCCCCCCCCCCCACCGCCGCCCCCCTGTGCCCCTCCACCGCCAGCAGACGCTCTCCTGCCGCCGCCGCGACCCCCGCCCCCTCGCACCCCGCCGCCGTCGGCGACGCGCGACGACGAGGGCGAAGCCGTGGCACCGGCGGCGCGGGGCGGGGACGGTCTCCTAGCGGGAGAGGACACGGTGGTGAGGAAGACGTTAACGTTGTCCTGGACGCGTTTGGAGTCCGTCATCTTCTGGCTCGGGAGGTGGGACACGAGCGGCTTGTGCGGGTGGGGGGCCGTGCTAAGGGCCGAGAGGGCCGCCCCGGCGGCGACGACGTCGTCCTCGCTGCCGTTCCCACCCGCTCCCCCTCCTCCTCCTCCTCCTCCTCCCGCTGCTTGATCTTCTCTTGCCGAGGAGGAGACCGGTTGCTTCCCTCCCCCTCCTCCTCCTCCGCGTCGGCTTTTCCTCTCACCGCCGCCGTCGCCGTCGTTAACGCTGTTGTCGTCACCGTCCTTCAAGTGACGATTGTCGCCCTCCTCCTCCTCCTCGACGTTATCGTTTGTGGACGATGCGCCGCCGCCGCCGCCGGTGGTACTGCTCGAACGCGTCAAGCGGCGGCGTTGGCTTCGGCGTTGGGCGGCGGCGGCGGCGGGAGCCGCATCTTGTCGGGCATCGTTTTCTTCTTCTCCCCCGTCGCCGCCTCCTCCCTCGCTGCCGGTTGGAGGTGAAACCGCGGCATCCGCCGCGGCATCCGCCGGTGCACGCGGCGGCGGCGGCGTGATGCCGTCAGCAGATCTTTTGGACTGTACGCGCTTCGCTACTCGAGCGGCATCTTCTGGGAAGGCCAGGAGGTATGGGGGGGGGACGGGCGTGTCAAGGGCGTGCCGTGCGGTGAACCAACCTGTTGTTTAGCGTCTCCGCGCGCAAGGGTCGAAACTGCAACGACTTTCATGCTCAGGTTGTGTATATCGAGTAGGCACACCTAACCCTTGTCCCTTATCCCAACAAACGTGTTCAACGTCCTAAATGCACAAAAACGCGAGAAAAAAAACACCTTGAACAAGACAAAAAAAACTACTGGCAAACAACATCCCTCACCTTTGGGCACACGTTGTCAAGAGCAAGAGCTGCAGAACGGTAAAATATAAGCGCGCCCTTGCCTTGCTGGGTCGCGACCCGCACGGCATCTCATACAGGCACACCACAGACAATCACACCGAACGAGTAGACTATTTATTCGTCAACAAGCATCCCGCCCGCATGCGTGTACCGAAAAAGTGCTGTTTCCATTGTCCCGTCTGTGTCTCACGTGCGGTCGTGATGCTGGCCACGCCCTGCTGCTGCCCGGCAAGGTTCTTAAACTCCAGCACAAACTGCTTCATCGCCGGAATGTACACCTTTTCGTTGTTGTTGCACGGTATGCCACCACGGGTAAATAGGTGTCGAACCACGCGCACGCATCGGCCGCGTCACCGCCGTAGCAGCGGGAGGGAGGGAGGGACAAGGGATGTTGTCCGGTTAACCTTTGCTCACGCATCTTTCGTCACCAAACCATTTCAGCGGTCGAATAGAACTCCACCCAAGAACCGTCTCGGGTCATCGTCCGTCACCCATCAAAGAGCCGCGGTATACTCTCATTAAGAACTGCCATGGCGTTTTACCCATCCTAACGCCGATTCATGTATGAAAACGTGTCCTAGTGCCCGCGCCAGCCACTCGACAAGCGCGCAGCGGGCAAAACAAGAGCCGCACATCACCGAGAGCGTACGGACGACAGACAGCAACGACAGTCCCGCTGCTCTTACATCCACTCATTTCCCCCACCTTGTTGTAAAACTTGATGATGTCACCCCTTTCCTCCTGCTGGGGCTCTCCCGCACCCTCGCCCCCCGCCTCCTCGTCGTGCCCTCTCTTGAGAAGGATGTCCTTCACCACGCTCAGGCGGGGTGTGCCCACGCCTCCGCTGAGGCCGCCCCCGCCGGCCCCCGCCAGCTGCTTGTACTGTTCGATGATGCGCTTGAAGGTCACCTCCGGGGTAACCCCGTTCACCTTGCACACGCTGTACGTGCTGTGGGGCCGGCGCAACAAAAACGGCGGGTGCGAGATGGGAAGAAAAAAAAAGTGGTCCCGGTTAGGGTTGGTGTGGCGTCGAGACGGCGGCAGCGGTGTTGCAGAGAGTGAGAAAAATGAGAAGCTGACCATTCTACTCAGCACTTTTCACACTCGATCATTCAACTCTACTCGAACGGAAGAGATGGTCTTACATCCCTTGGGCCAAGAGAAGACTTCGTTCTTCTCACGTTGCAAGCGGACAAAACCCTTGCCAACGAAAAAAAAAAAAAAAAAACACACACACACAATTGTGGCATCCAGCAGCACTTGAGAGAGGGCTACCCACCCCCCCTTGGTGCATCAACTGCACAAGCAGCGCATATGGCGTGTTTCTCTGTCATTTTTTTCAATAGATCATTCGCCGGGCCCAATGCTCGTTTGCTTACACCCCTTCCCCCCACGCTGAAAGCATCCCCCCACCCCCGGGCGATCCGTTTCATCACACACACACCAAACCTACAGTACCTGCAAAGGATGACGTGATGGAGGTGTCGGTCCTTGAGAATCTCCGTCCTCTGCGCCACGCACCGCTTGATAACCGTCCACACCTGTTGGGTGTACGCCGCGAGAGCAAGTTCAAGAGAGGGGGCGCAGCAGCACACCAACGAAAGTATCGGGTTTTTATTATGTGGTCGGGTGGGTGGGTGTGTTTGACTGTGTTAGCGTCGACGATGCCAACCAGCTGTGTTATTCGTTAGCATTGACAGCGCTGACCGGCTGAAGAAAGACGTCAGCACCAGCGGGCAGGCTGCCATCTCGTTCAAGAGTCCCCCCCCCCCGGCACAACCTATACGCGCGCTTTTATCTCTCACTCGTATAACTCGCGGGTGATCACCCCACGAACGACGCCTCCGACCACCCATCCATGCGAAGACTCTTTGCAAACTCCACCCCTCGTGACCGCAACGCGCCTCCGTGCACACCTGATCTGCCGTGTCCCCCGGGAGATGCAACCTCCGTAAGCACAGCTCCGCCACCACCTCCGCCGCCCGCTTCATCAGCCTCCTGAAGAAGAGGTCGAGGGTCGACGCCCGTGCTCTCGCCGCCCCCGCCGCCGCGGCCGCCACCACTGCCGTCCCGGTGGCGGCCTGTCCAGCCGGCACGGCATCATCGCCGCTACCGTTCACCTCTGCTCCTTCCCCCCTTTCTACCGTTGCCGCTGCTGCCGCCGCCGCCGCTTCCCCGTCCGCTTCGGGTTCGTCGAGAGAGGAGGCAGGCTTTCCCGCATTTGCCTGCGGTTGGCAATCTACTTTCTGGGGAGAGCACGGGAGGCCGGCCATGTGCGAGCCGGTAGGCGGGGCGACGTCCGTCTCTCGGAGGGGGGTCACGGGCCACTCCCCTGCGGCCTGAGAGATGTTCGTGATCAACAGGGGGGGGGGGGGGGTACTACATGGGACGGATGGACCGACGGAGGGGGGCGTTAAACCCCCCCTCGTCCCCAGCGTCGGTGCACCCCTTTAATCAAGAGGGGGTGGGCCAGACAGAGGCAATCATAATGGGTGTAAACATTACTGAACATGTTTGTTTGCCTTGGGTAGATGGCGGGCAGGCGGACCCACAACAAAGTCAGCAAGAGAGTCACAACGAGAGGATACATTCCTCGTTGCAGTCCTTCTCTTCCCGCCACCAAACATCACCACACCTACGTACAACCCCCACGCAGCTGTGACAGAAGGTACTAACGCGGTGTACCTCGTGCTCTTCGATGAGCCTGAACACTCCCGCCCCGGCCTCAAGGGCCAGTCTCTCCACGATCTCCGTCTGTACCTCGAACAGGTGGTACTTAAGGTTCATCTGCATCATCATCATCATCATCGGCGGCGGCAGCGGCGGCGGCAACAGCAGCAGTCGTTGCGCCGCCATCGCACAAAAAAAAGCGTGTCGAAGGCGGTTAGCAAGCAAAATCGACACCCGGCAAGGCGAGGCGTGCTTACATGCACGTTCATCTGCCACCCGTTGTGTGCTTGTCGGGAGAGCCAAAAAAAGAACGTCAAATCGTTTCAAAGCACACTACGCTACCTGGCTCGGTTGTTCCTTTCGTAGTCTATTCATGCTAGTTTTCCGTCAGTTCGGTTCGCGCAGTAATGCATATTCAAACACACACACACACTTTTGACTAGAAAGTGTTCGTGCTCTTGTTTCCCTCTACAAGATTGACGTCTTTTCATTGGTCAGCCGGTTAGCGCGGTCGACGCCTATCCAAACACCCAACTCACCGGGAGGCCCGGACAGAAGCGCGCGAAGCTCTCGAGCACCTTGCACAGGTCGAGCGCGTCGATATCCATCCTCCGGAGCACCCACGGGAAAGTCAGGCTCAGCAGGGAGCTCGCCTTCAGCACCGCCTGTGTGGTGTATATGGTTTGTGGTGTATGGCGGGTGGAGGGGTCACGCAGACAAGAGTCCTTACAGAGAAACGGTCAATTATTTCTTGAGAGTAAAGTATGTACTCCGGTCACGCTTTAGGCTGCCCCGACTGCTGTCTTCTTCGTCGGCGCGGGAAAAAAAGAGCGAAAAAAACAGAAACGTTTTGTGTTGCGTGTTGCGCCCCCCACGCCGCTGCTGTGTAGTGGCGTGGACGTCGTGGTTGGCGTTCGTGGTTGCGATCGCACGCGAAGCACGACAGGCTGGAACAACAAACGCGTTCAAGACCCACCGACAGCAAGAGGCAGGCGCGTGTGTCAAACTGATGTCATCATTTCCGCAACCAACCTTGTTCCGTCGCCACACGGGAAGCAGAAAACCGCGCTCCTTTGCTTAAGAAGTTGCTGTTACCACTGCTGCCGGAACAAGGTGGCGCCTCAGAAGCGACAGCACACTCTAATGCGACCCATACATGGAGGATTGGGTCTCGAGGCTCGATTCGTCCACAACCAAGAGGGTACAGTAGGCGCGAAGACAGAACGACGAGAGCAAAGGAAGACAGACTCTCCGAGACAACGCCACCCCTCTCGGCATCGATTGCCAAACAACCTCACGGTCAATCAACTTCAGGACACGCGGTACCAAAGTGTGTGTGCTGCGATGACCCGCACCTGAACAACGGTTAAGCACAACTCACACAGATAGACAGATAAGCTGGATACCACACCTCGAGGCAGCAAGCGAGGAGAGCCTTGTGCAAGGTTTCCTGCTCGAGGAGGCGGCTGTGATCCTCGGAGCTCAACCTCTCCGTCTCTGCGTCCAGCAACACCTGGGATAGGGGGGGGGGGAGGGGGGTGGTATTCATTGGGGGTGCAACGGTTACCTCTTCTTCGCCGTGCAACGCACGGGAGACGATCATTTTTTTTTGCTGTGACATGCATGGGAGACGATCCCTCGTGAACTTGGGTCACCTGGTTAAAGGAGGCGGCGGGGGGGGGGGAGAGAGCATTCGAAGGCAAACGCCTACAGTATCGCGTCGGAACCCACCGCCAACGCTTTTCACGCCGACCGCACCGTTTTCAATGACATAAGCCTGCCATGTGCTACGGATGCCCGCGTTAGTTTTCACGCATGCGGTTTCGTTCCTGGTGTAACACCAAGTCCTGTGTCGTTAGTTCCCGGCTTCACCTTCTCCTTGATTTGCTATGCTCTTTCTTTCTCCTTGGATTGCTATGCTTGTTCTTTCTCCTGGATTTGCTGTGCTGCTTCTTTCTCCTTGATTTGCAATGCTGCTTCTTTCTTCTGGGTGAAAAATCACGTCTTGTATCGTATCGTTTGTTTCCGGCTTTACTACTGTTTTCCTTTATAGAAAATGGTTTTCACTTCACGCACCTCGAGCGTGGAGTAGTAGAGAGCCTCGGCCTTCTTCTTCGCATCCCCCACAACACCGGCCTCCAGATCCGAGCCCCTGGCGTCCAGCGAGCTCGTCGCTGCTCGAAATGACGACGTGAGGCTGCTCACGGCGTTCTAGTTTTGTTTTCACCAATGGGCGAAGGCGAATCAGGGGGGCAGGGGGAGAGAGAGTGTTCGGGAGAGGGGAGAGAGGGCGAGAGACAAGGGGGTGGGAGAAGGAGGACGAACCAGTAGACAACAGGTATCTTCTAATATATCTTGCGACCATGCTTATGCTGGGGTGTTTATCTACAGTTAAGCGCGCCTGTGTATGTAGTAAGTGCCTGTTCTTCCGGTTGATGCATCAGAGCGATCGACAGAAGAAGGCAAACGGTGATGGAGAGAAGAGTCCAAAGAACTGCTGCGACTTGACGTTATCTAGCGTCATGCGCACGAAAAAAAAATCTCCCGCGAGCACACCAAAATGACACGCTCGCACGCACGCACACCTGCTGCTGCGCCGCCGGCCCGTCTAGCTTGGCCATGAGGCCGGCCAACCGCTGCTGGAGCTGGCTCGGCGACACCGTCGCGCACCTGACCGCACCGCCCGAGAACAAAAAAGAAACATCCACGGAAAACGCAACGCGAGCGAACGAAAGGTATAATAGTGTCAAACACAAGGACAAGATAGCGCTGCTTTGTCCGTAAAAAAATGCGGATAAATAAGTGTGTTCCACATTTCATGTTTTCATGTCTTCGACTGATGGAGCCGCGAAGAATGCATGGAAGACGGGACGAACACGCAGCATGACTGACAGCTGGACAGACAGACAGACAGACAAGACAGATAGACAGACAGGCAGGTCTTCATGATACTACCCACCCCCCGAAACCTCTTTTACGAAAAAACTACGGGTTTACCATGCGTCTCTTTGGCATCACTCCATCGAGACGCATGTGATGTACATCCTCGACCCTTTTCGCTTACTTCTTTAGCTTGTCCAGCAGCGAGTCCGGAGGCCCGCTGATCCCGGCGTCTAGACCGGCGATCCACCTCACGGTCTTCGGTTTCCGAGGTTTTCGTACAAAGGAGGGCGAGCGTGACGATGCAAACGAGAAAAACGAAAAAGAAAAGAGTGATGACCAAAATTAAAAGAGATGCACGCACGCGTAAAGCCACCAGACCACCACCAGAGACGGACGGAATCGTCAACAACGACCACCACGGGCGGCGGGACACACAGGCGGTACAGAAGAAGCTAACCCCCGCGGCCGCCGTGCAACCCAGGCAGGCAACTTGGTGCACCCAACACATACACATGCAGGCAGGCAGGTTATAAACTCCCCTATGGCGCGACATGGGGGTTGGCCACCACAAGGGGGGCCCGTAGGGCGTGCCGCGAGGCAGGGTGTGCCTCCTAACGCGGGGGCCACAACAGTATGGCACAGAAGTCAAACACGCGCTGGCCTGTTGTGGCGTGTAGCGTGTGTGCATCGTAGCATACACGCACGCCAACACCGCTTCCGCTGCCCTCTACTACACTTCCACCAGGTTTTGCTGTGCTGCTGCTCTGCTGGGCGTTGTGACCGCCGCATCCGCAACATTAACATCAACTTGAGCAGCTGCTGCCAACAACATTCCGAAAAAACACCAACAAGTTTTTCTTGCCTCCTAGCGGGCAGGCCACTGGCAACACACGCGCGAAATACACACGCTCCAACAAAAACGCAAAAAAAAAATACAAAAAAACTTGAATTGTTTGCCTCCACGACGGCCATGACGGGAGTTCAGTACCGGAACTACCTGGAGGACGCGCTGGCTTTGGGTGCCAGGCTCGGGTCGCCGACGCTTTTCGTCACCCTGACCGCCAACAGGTTGGTCCAGGTTGGTCGGACCAACCTTTTAGCGGTGAGCGTGACGAAAAGCGTCGGCGACCCGAGCCTGGCACCCAAAGCCAGCGCGTCCTCCAGGTAGTTGCGGTACTAGACTCCCGTCGTGGCCGTCGTGTAGACAAAAAGAAGTGCTTTTGTTGTGTTTTTTTCGGAACGTGTGTATTCTTCGCGCGTGTGGCGCCAGCGGCCTGCCCGCTATGGAGGCAAGAAAAAGTTGTTGTTGTTGTTGTTGTTGTTGTTGTTGTTGTTGTTGTTTGTCGGCATGTTGTTGCCAAGCGGAAAACACACACAAATAAAAAAAGATCTTGCCTCCATAACGGCCATGACGGGAGTTTCAGGGGGGCCTCCTCTGGCATTCCCTCCTCCTCCTACGGCAATACCCGCCATGCCGGCCGCACCAGCCAGCCTCGACGACCGCGACGCCAAGGGGTTCCGCAAGATGCCGAACCCGCCCCCCCCAACCCCGCCGCTGCGGGGACTGCCTCCTCCGACCTGTCGGCCCCCCGGCGGCAAGATCGACTCCGGAAAGCTACCCGCGGCCGCTGCCGCCGCCGCCGCCGCCGCCGCCGCCGCCGCCGCCGCTGCCGCTGCTGCCGCCGAGCTAGCGGAGGGCCCGTTGCTGTCCTCAGGGGGCCCGAAGGACAGGGCGAGGCAATGCTGGGCCTCACCCTCCCCTCGCTCCTGGGGTTCGACGGCAGCGGCGGTCGAGACCTGGAGTAGAAGGGGGGTGGAAGCGAAAGGGGGGCCGGGGAACGGCGCGCCCACCGGGGGGGGGGGGTGCTTAGCTTGATGCTTGCCTATTCAGCTCATTTGGCCATTTACCATACACCAATGTACCATACATATCCCTCTAGAGACGAAGCCGGGGAGGGAGTAAACGCGGCGCTTTGGCAGGTGCGCTGAGTTTCTACCCGACGGGAGGGGAAAGTTACGCCAACACAGCGCTAGCCAGTCCGCTAAACTAGTACCGTAGGTTGCATGAGATACCACACCCCCTGGAACGATCTTCAACACTCGGTTTCTCCACGACAAGGAGGATGCCGATATCAACGTTTTCGGAAAGTTCTCGACGAGAAGGTGTTCCACCGCTGCAATTTTCGGCACCGTCACCGATTTTCTTGCCGAGTAATCAAGCCTTGAAAATTTGTCCAGGCGGGTGTGATGTCTTGTGCAACCCACGGTATTCCACCGCAAAAAAGCAAAGGCCATGCCGTGAAGAGAGTGGTGTGCACATCACACGGATCAAAACAAAAACAAGTGTCATGCACTCTCCGCACCCTCTGGTAGTCTTGGAAGAGCTGGCGGCTTGTGCGAGAAACGCTGGGCGTCAGAGCAGACCTGCGAGGGGTAGACCCTCCGTAGCGGGGAGTTCCAACGGTATCTCTGCAGCATCCGAACGGGGTGGCGGGGGTATAATGATAAATGCCGCAAGTGGTGAGGGTTAAGAACACGTTAAGCGCAGTCGAATCAGCGTGACAAACAGCAGCGGAATACACGGCAATTTAGCTCTCCTGTAAACACACGTAAACACCGGAGCAGTGCGACACATCAAAAAGAAACAGGCAAGTATGTGATGCTGCTGCAGTTCGAAGTTATCATGAACTCGGCTTGGTCAGCAGCAAGAGACGAGCGAAGCCACGGCAGGCTGCCTGCACAAGGGGCAACTTCTCCCGAACCACTTGGCTGACGTGTAGGAGACAGAAACCACGCCTTCCCTTCACCAACCAGCCACCGCTCGGCAGCAGCACCACCACCATCAACACAACGGCTGCGCACCCAGCTTGCTTGACTCCCCGTACCTCAGGTCTGGCGTGAGCACAAATGCCTCGTCCAATACAACGCCCCTGTGGCCCCCGCCCCCGCCCCCCCCCCGCTGCGACACCCGCGCCCAGTAGCACGCGTCGAGCCTGTCCACGTTCTCCCCGGCGACAGAGGGGTGAAACACTCCGGCAACTCGCTCCGCCCGGCTGGCCAGCTGCTGATGTCGCGGTACGTCAACGGGCGCAGCAGCACTTTCGTCTGCTGCTGTGTCCATCAGAGACACATCAGCAGCAGCAGCAGCAGTAGCAATGGTTGTGCCATGCTCTCCTCCTGTACACGGTGAGGAGGTGGCCGGGGCAGGGGCTTGGTGAGACACGACGATGCCCTCCTGGAGCAGCGCCTCGATCACCTCCACCACGTGCGCGCTCATCGCCCGCACCTCCTTCGCCGGGCACCTGCCGCTGGCGCTCAGCTTGGCAAGTAGCGCCGCCTCACCGCCGTACGTGCCCCCCCCGCCATCTCCGCCACCGCCACCGCCGCCGCCGCCGCCGGTCGCCGCCGTTTCGCTCTCGACGGCCTCCCCCCCTTCACTTCCCGCCCGCGGAGCCGCCACCGCCGTTGCTGGTTCAGAATCAGCGGCAGGAGCACTAGCCCCTTCCCTCCCGCCCTCCAGCCCCCCGCTTGCGCCGCTGCCGTCGGCAAGGAGAGACGAACGCCGCCGCGAGTAGCAGCCTCGAGGAGACGAGGAGGAAGAAGAAGAAGAAGAAGAAGAAGAAGAAGAAGAAGAAGAAGAGGAGTTCCACACCACGGCGCCGAGCGCCGCGAGGACGAGGTTGAGGCAGCGCACGAACGCCGCGTTGGAGCTGCGAAACCCGAGCACGTCCTTGGTCAGCAGGTACAGGTACCACCCCAGGCGGGGCAGCGCCTGCGGGTCGGACGGCGGCAGCGGCAGCGGAAACCCCGCTGCGGCGACGGCAGCACTATTGATGTCGTGGTCGTCGCTGGTGTCGTCGGCGCCGGCGCCGCCACCCTTGTTGTTTTCTGCAGCCTGCGACGGCAGCACCCCGTTGGTCATGTTGTTGCTGTCGCCGTCGTTGCCGAAGGCGGCGGAACTCGGCCCGAAAATCGCCGGTGGGAATAGCGAATCTCGTCTGCGACACACGACAGAATCGGCAGTGGGACGACAACGCAAGGTGGCGTGTGCGTTTGTGTGTGTAACTTTTAACTAGCGTCGACCGCGATAACCGGCTGACCAATGAAAAGAAGATGTCAATCTTATAGCGGGATAATAAACACGAACACGTTCTAATCAAAAGTGTGTGTGTAGGTTTACGGGGGGAGGGGGGGGGGTCACGGTCACAAAAAATAGGAACACAGGGGTGGCGGAGGGAGGGTGAAGTCGTTACACCACTCCATAGGAGTTGGCGGTTTTCCCTGAAGTTTGGGGCGGCTCAACAACATGACCGCTACGCCATGCAGTACTGAAAACGCATCCACACATTCATCCAAGTAAGTCTGGAACAGCAGCCGCCTGTCTAGGATCCCCGTACTTTCACGTGCCCTCCCCCCCCCAAAAAAAAAAAAAACACTCACTCGTTCCAGATTTGCCGGTACTTCCCGTAGAGCATTTTGGTAACGACGATGCCCTCCTTCATCACCCTCAGGTCTCCGTCCAGGCGTGCTGACAGGGGCCCTGGCAGGCGACCCGCTACCAGTGTGAGGTGTTCCATGAAGCCCTTCACGCCGGTGTTGCACTGATGGTGTGGCGCGTGCCGCGGCGGGATGCGGGGGCCGAAGAGAAGAGACAACAGGCAAAGCGTCGTGAAGAACGGGTGATACGGGAAAGCGGGGCTATGGCTGAGAGGGAGCATGGTGCATCGTGATCGAAGCAACGAGGATGTTGTTGTTGTTTTCGTTGTTGTTGCTGTTGATCTTGTTGCTGTTGATCTTGTTGCTGCTGCTGCTGCTGTTGCTCGCTCAAACTAGCTCAGCAGACAAATCTGGCATGCGGGTATCGGAGCACCACAAGTCCCGTATCATAAACGGTAACCCGCACATGCAAGGCCTCAGTTGAACGTGCCTACTCTATTGCAACGGCATGTAACTACAGATGCACAACACAATAAGCGATACAAAAAACCTTTCTAGGCGTTGCAAAACGAACAATAAACCTACCAGAGGTTTCCGCTCGGCGACACAACATGAGAGGGGGGGGGAGGGGGGGCGGTGGCGTCTTGTGAGGAGCGGTAGCGTGCACGCGCAAGAGAATCGGTGGCCGTCGATCAAACGACACAGCAGAGTCCATATCCGAGGCATTCCTCGGCATCACCACTACCCCCAAAAAAGTTGGAAACAGCAACGATGAACAGAAATCAACCACCACTCTGCTACGGCCGACCGAGCACTATGAGCAGCCCAACCAGGCCGCATCACTCCGAAGGGGGGTTGAATGACGGTATACACGCCGGCGGCATTTAAGGAGGAGGTCAAGCACTCGAGAGGCATCATCATGGAGGGCGCGTGTAGTACCTGTCGAAGCAAGTCCCCGAGCCTGCAAGTCCCGCCGCCGCGGCCGTCGGCGCCCGTCGTCGTCGCCCGTGGTTGCGCGTCTTCTGCCTCAGCCGCGGGCTCGTCGTCGTCGTACAGGGCGAGAAAAATCGCCGAGGCTGAGCACAGGCGCTCCGCGGTCTTGGCGTCTTCGACCTCGGCAGCGGACGACAACTGCCCTCCGTTTTTTAGTCAAGGTCAGCCATCCGTGTGTACAGCCAGGTTAGACAGACAGGCAGACAAGACACAGACGAGGTATATAGTCAATCAGACACGAACCGGTGCCCCCAAGGATCAAGCGCGAACACGCACAACTAATACGTGTCATGCTTGGTCGTGTTCTTGGAGGATGAGCCCTCCCTCCCCCCCTCCCTCCCGTGAGTTGGGTACACGTATGGTGGGCAAAAAGATGCGTTCTAACGCCGCAGGAGGAAACACGCTTGCGTTTTCCTTAAAAGGGCACGAGGGACAAATAAGCTGGAGGAGTATATATATATTTATCTACCTACATGCCTTAAAAATCTGACAAGCTCTCGCTGGGGAGGGGGGCTTGCGTAAGGCTCTTGATGGGTTCAATATGGTGGCCGATGCTCAAATGAATCAACAGAAGCAACTTTCGGCCCGTGTCTAGCACACGGCGAAGACAACAGAGCAGGGCAACAATGTTAGCCCAAAAAATGACCCCACGAGTGTTTCTTGTCAAATGCTGTAGTTCCAGATAACCGGCGGCCCTCTACACTCTTTTCAGTAAGGTAAATCGAACCAACCAAACAGCGATGACCGCCCCAAAACACGCAGAAAAACAAAAGATGAAGCAGGGGGGGGGGTATACTCGTGCTGCGCTTCCACGTGCCCCCTTTGGTGCTTGCAGGTCGGTCACTAGATCTACCGGGCAAAGAAGAGGATTTTAGGACAGCATGCAGAGCGGGGCATACATACGGCCGAGTGGTTCATGTTGGTCGGCCGCACACAGAACAAACAGGACTCCCGTCACCAAAGCGCGCGCGGAAGGCCAGCGCAGCACACGAACAAGCATCTGGTATGTACGGCAACTGCTGCGCCACGCACAGCACGTGCTTCACGCACGTGTGCGGCCTATGGCGAAAGCAGTGCGTGCTATACGTACGCGTATGGACGCCAAAACGACTAAGAGACGTTGAGACAACATTAAGCCCTGTGAATCATCAAGAGGTAGGCACATAGACAAAGAGGGTCTGTGTGGTTTCTGAAAGAAGAAAAAAAACTTGACTCTGCTGTGCAACATAATGAAAGACCCTAGATAACTCCATTTCCCAGTAGCCTTCGCTACGTTTTTCTTTTAAGTAAACATGTTGGATAAGCGTTGAGTCTGGCAAATTGGGTTATTTCTCGCGAACGCGGTAACTAGCCTTTCCTCTGTTGTACAGTTCCTCATAAACGTAATTTCTCGCGTAAGGCGGTCCCTCCATTTCCACTCGGGGGGGGACATTGATTTCCAACATCCAACATTGTCGCGATGATTCATTGAGCAGATACATGGATCAATCGAGCGCAGCTGGAGAGCAGTGACATGTGTCGCCGTGGGACGGCCGAAGACTGCAGGCGTACCGCCATGTGCATACCAAACGACGTGTTAAGGGCGTGTTCCGCTGCTCTAGACAGGTGCTGTACGTTAGTCATACATACTCGTGGAACAGCTTTACGGGACAACGGCTTTCGGGAGGTCGGATTACCAATCGTGCGAAAGGATCTTTAGGGGGTTCGGGGGTAGGGTTTCCGGAAGGTTCGGAAAGCATGCCGTGCTTTTTGGGCGCGCGCGCACGCGGTTCTTGACGGTTTGGAGGTGGTACTCGGCTAGCTCAGCTCTGCTAGCTTGCATACTGAAGCCCGAGCTGTGCAGGCTTGCAGAGCCCGCCTGCTCGTATGTTCTGTGGAGTATGTTCCTGCGCGCACAGGGGACTCATGGTGTGTAGGGGAGGAGAAGAATGCTGCTAGAAAAACATGTCAGGACCGCCGAAAGCACAATCAATTAGTCTACAATGTAGACTGTTGTCGGGGGCACCGATTTGTATGTGCGCGCTACCGGGCTGCCGGCCGTTCGGTAGGGCATGTACTGCTGCTGTACGAAGAGCGAGTGGAATATCTAGCTGAGTCTAGGTGCTGTAGGTCTAGGCCTACTTTGCACAGCTTCGAGATGACCGGAACCGCTTTCTGTGCTGTACACGAAAGAAACAACCGATTGCCCCGCAACGCTAGAGGTAGGCGCATCAGCATCCAGATCTGCCGCTGCCATCTGCTTCCAGATTGATAGCTTGCCAACGTCCAACCAGGCACAACACTGCACAACAACCCATACGACGTCTGAAGAAGCATGTTTCCCCCAATCCCCCCCAGCCACCCTATAAGGCGTCGAAGTCCTACCCATTTCCGGCTCAGGCTAGACCTATAAACAAGGTATGACACAAGATATCACACACCCTCGACCGATTTTCCAAGCTCCATTCTTTCACAGCAGAAGCGTGGTAGCGCCGGAAACGGCGGCGTTGAAGCCGCTCTGTCAAGAGCCTTCTGAAACAGTCGTTTCATGCACGCATTCTCTTCGTGGAGTAAGTGATGTTTGAAAATCGGTCCAGGGTATGGTATCTAGTGTCACCTACGGTACGGTCCAGGCGGGTAGGCTGCTGCATTTACAGGCAACATCGCAGATGATCTGCTCCCATGTAGGTTGCAAATGGCAGATACTAGATTCAACACCTTCCCATGTCGAACTATCGAGAAAACCCCAAAGTTTTTGCGCAGGGTATATTGAGGAGATATTATACGAGTGTATTATACACCAGGTTTGAGCGAGTCGTCGCCACGTTGTTTAGGCATACTTACTTGTAGACTTACTTCATGTAGGTTGAAGGGGAAGTTGGTTGAAGGGGGAGTTGCAGGAGGGGAGAGAGGAGCCGACATAGTCTCGCCGATAGCCTGCTTGTTAGGCTTTGGTTTAGAAGGGGTGAACGCGGAAAGAAAACAACATAGCTTTAATATATATATACCGTAATAGTCGGAGAGATAGGACCGGTCTGAGAGGTGGCACCGGTCGGGGAGATGGCACGGGGTTGCTCAAAAAAATACGAGAACGGCCCGATTTACATCCATTTACGCACCGGGGTCAGTGAGATCGCACACCGACCGCCAAACCCAAGATTGGGCTCATTTTCAGCTGCCGGAGTGAGGTACATGTGTGTTCCTTATACATGTGGGGATGGTGTCAGCGGAGCGCCACCCCTGCATGTACGTATGCATGGTCGCGGTTCACACGGGGATGCCAGTTGATTTCATATTTGAATTGGTATGGAAGTTGCCAACCGTATACTCTCAACCAGACACACAACGTACAAGCCACATCCTACCCCACCTTACACAACACGAAGCTATTGTTGCTTCGTACGTACTGGTATCCGTAGAGAAACACCGAAACGAAAGCGGAAGACAACTGATGCCGTATGTACCAGTACCTCAGATGGAAACGACATCCTTTCTTGTCGTCACTCTATAGCCAAACTCGCATCAAACACGACACCACTCGCTGTATGGAAAGCTGTTACGTACCAGCCTACGTTGCCGTTACCGGTATGCTCCCACTCATACAACACCTGTGTGTATTTCATCGGAGATCGCACCGGTCGGAGAGATCGCACCGGGCTACCTTGAAAATGTAATCAAAAAGATCTAATCGCACCGGGGTCGGAGACATGGCACCGGGGCGCGATAAAAACTCAAGGAAGAACATTTAAAAAAACGATCGCACCCGGTGCCATCTCTCCGACCATTACGGTATCTCGAAACGGCATGTACGTACCACAAGTCCAGGACGAAATGGTATTGAATGCCAAAACGCAACCTAAAAATTATTGCCAAGTGGGCAAGTGGGCACCAGACAACTTTCTTGGACAGAACACAAAATAATTTCTACCCTCATCCGGATGGAACGCAATGAGCCGAACCCAATGGTAGGTAGGTCTGCCTTGTTTTCGATATAGGATCAAAAACGGTTCTTCGACAATTCGTTACTTTCACATTTGGGAACAGGTCTGGTTGTCCTTGGATACGCATCTTTCAAGCCAAGGCTCGAAGGCAAAAGATACATCGCGCTCTTGGAAACACAAAAAACAGCGAGCAGTCGATAGTACTGGAAGTGCTGTGAAAGGCTGACAAACGGAACGTCGGTGGGCTCGGAAATAGTTCTTGAAAGCAACCCTATCGTGTAGCGAAACCAATGAATTCCCCTCAAGAAAAACCAAACGTATCTATCCCCCAAAACGCGGAGCTGTATATTCCTACCACCAGCCTCGACACACCATCAACCGAAAGACTACAAAAAAAATGAACTCTACCCACCACTGCGAACCGGGCGAAATGACGTAATGGCGCAAGCGGTTCAGCTCAAGCGGACACCGTACCACAAAGCATCCGAGACATTGTACAACAACATCCGAGCCCCCCCAAAAGTATGGCTATGGCTTAACAAAGGTCAGCCGGACCCGGCCGAACTGGTCGAATGATCGCATTAGAGACTTCTGGCAGAAGCATCTGCCGCAGAACCAAACCTGAGCCTGGCAAATCTCTACTCGTTCCGAGCCATGGCCTCGAACACGCTTGACCATGTTTGCCACCGATTTGCGGTTTATTGCCTCATTCTCGGTCTCGTTGATCAGAGTTACCATGAACGCAAAGCGGTCAAATTTCATGACATTCAACATGTGCAGAAACTTTTTCTTCTTCGCATGGTTCTGCTCGTGCGCGTTGAGGTTGACCCCCGAGAGCTGGGCGCATGAGTCTATCCCACCGTACTTTTGGCGGCAGTCATCCCCGTGGTTGCAGTCGTGCAGGGCGTCAGGCCCGTAGTAAGGCCCGGCATTGCTCCCCAAGGCGTGCGTTCTGCACACTGTCGCCGTGGGGTCCTCCTGCAGCGGTTGGATGTCGAACGGAAGGCCATACTCTTCCACGATGCCATTGGTGTCAGCGCTTTTCCCCGGTTGATGTTGAGCCACCTGAATCTGAAGGGCTTTCGTACGCTGCACCGCCGACCCGAAGCATGCTCCTGAGCGCACAGCCAGTTCTGTGAGGACGAACAGAGATGACGTACAAAAAAACGGCATGCCATGTGTTGGCTCATGAAAACGTTTTGACTAAGGTTTGATCATTTTGAGCCGGCCTGGAGGTAACGAACGACATGTACCATACCGGCCTGATACCGGCACCAACATTGACACATTGTGGAAAAACGTACACAGCCCGGTAGATTGGTAGTCCTTAGATTATTGGACCAACAAAACGACTAGCCTCAACACCTAACACGCAAGTGTCCACGTCCTCGTACCTGCCCTCTTCTTTGCGCACTGGTTGGCGGGTTGAAGTCCAATCGCGATGAACTCCTCCTTGGCCTGATCCAGATGTCAGAGGTCCCGAAGAAGGGGACGGAAAGTAAACCGTGTGGTCGAAAAAGTTGTCTAAATAGTTGGGTTACCGCAGTGGGCTGCTTTAATGCATTTATACAGGAAACTCTGTACAAGCATCAGAAAAAAAAAACATTGCTGGGTAGTC